TAGACTTGGGTTTAACTTCTACCTAACAATAACCGCTCTTACAAACTCCTTCACCGTTTATGACCTTAATTAGTACTCTGCCTACGTGCAAGTACTAAAGAACGGAATCAAAGTTAAAAGACTCGAAATGGCAAGTGTAACTGGACCGGAATTGTATTTACACAAAGAGATATGGAATTTGATAAGAAATAAAAAGTACACACTTATCTGGAGATGAGACGGTTGTCAGCTCGTAGAGTGTACTAGGTGAAAGTACAGCGAGAGAGCGAGACAGTAACCGTACAGGAGGATCAGGAGTACAAAGGCGGAAGTGGGGTTAAAGGTGAGGTTGCGTTCATTCAAACAAAAGTTCAAAGGTACAATGTACACTACAAGCATATAAAATACAATAGTGTTGGAAACCCTCTACTATTTACTCAAGCTATGCTTTTTTGGAATACACTGGACGTCCCTGACTACCACACATTTTCTACATAAGCCGAACTAAAACATGTAATAATGAAGACTGACATAGCTTATGACAGTCACAAATACAAACTGTAAACGGAAATGAAGACGTCGTTTTCGCCTGTACAATTAAGTGGAATGATAAAGAGGGATTTCCACTGTGGACATGTTTATCTACACCCTAGAAGCCGTCCAGTGTCAATCCTGAAACTGAAAGACATCTAACCTAATTTCAGCTCTTCATCATGCACATTGCGTTAAAACTGTTCCTATGATCCAAATTGTAAAGCCGTGAGATTAGGCAAGTTTGTTTACTGGTTCCAGGACAGTTTCCAGCCTCTTTCTGAAAGGATGAATACAAGTGCATAAAAGGTTCAATTCTATCACACTTGGTAGATGTAAGATGTCGTGTTGAAGTCGGCACAAACTCAAAAGTTACGTTCAATATTTTGGAGTCACTATCATTCACAGACCTCCTTACTTCCATTGGTCTTCTACATTTCTTTCTACCTTCGCACCAGCAGTTTTAGTCTTAATCTTTATCTATTTACACTCCTTATTCTGGCGTTTTTCAAAGACTAACGAATTTTACATCTATGCTATTGCGAATTATTAGTGTTGGTATGGCTTCTTCACTCAACACATGACCTCGCCTCACTCATTTCGCATACTGACCATTTCAGGGACAATTGGTTGTTGCACTCGTAATCACCCGTTCAGCTCACACAACCTTGTGTTAACCCGTCAGCCTTCTCCGCATCATGTGAATCAATGATGGCTTGTCATAGTCGCCTTGGATTTGAGAAAATCCGTAATTTCATTCAGCTCACCATATATGTCGTACAAATATTATTTACTTTGTCATCCTACGACTAATCCTTGCGACTGTCTGTTGTTGTAGTATTTTTTATAATGGTAAGTACCAGAAGAGAATTTATTGAAAAGAATGAATATAAAGTTAGTCTAAACGAGACTGACTTTATATTCGTAATATGCGAAAATATCTCACGCTCTTAAATCTTATGTATAGATAGATAATTTACAACTACGTTTCATTAAAAGTTGTGGTAATATTTCGAATAGTTGGTTTGGATCAATAAAGAGAGTTAGTAGTTTGATACCTGACTCCTTTTTGTTATCACATATAGTACGAGTCAAATAGGGTGTCCTGAAGTTTATACACTCAGTCTTCGAAGCACAAAGTCTCTAAAAGTCGCCTGTAGTCCTACCTGAAGATAAGTAATCAGAGAGGATGCTGAACTCCTATTTCAACCCCCACGCATTTGTGGCAGTACTTCGCTTATCCTGTGTCTCGAAACAAGAGATATGGAGTAAAAAACAATAGGTTTTGTAAGTGTACATATCCCAATTAGCCTGGAACTTCATTATGTGCGCTTGTTTGGCGACGGTTTGCAGAATCGTCTTGAAACCATATATGCGTAGTCTCCGGCCTATTTCGACTCTATGGATTTGAGTTTAGAGACAGTCGCTATATCAGATTGCTTGCAAAATACTGGCTGACGAAACCACACACAAATATTACAAACTCCTAGTAATTCCTACTACGTTAACTCAATAATATCTTACTTACTTTACTTCGGCTATCTCCTGTGGGAGGATGAGCCGGCTTCATGAGTTCATGAAGTTTGCTGTATTTACAGTGATGTTTATGCTTACATCTTATGAACTCTTGTTTTATTTTCTTGGCTACTGACTTATCTTGATGATGTCATGGGGCTTGCTGCTGAAGCGAATGGCTTCCAGCGTCGATAGCTCTGTATTGTATGTTAAATCATTGATAAATCTATCCCTTATACTCCACATGGATATTCTAACTTGCAGCATTGAATATTAACTTTAACGAATGCTGTAATCTCCAGAGTTTCAAAAATTTGAGCCATTTCTAAAATTGAGTGTCACATTCAGAGAGGATTTGTCGTTTAGTTATGTTGTCATCAGTATGCAGTCCGCCTTTGCTGTCGATACAAATTTGTTGAAGGCAAACATTATCAGTACTCGCATGTCGGACGGATGATATATGCCGAAGAAGTGCAATAGTCAAAGTTTGAAACTATCCTTTGAAGCTGGAATTGGTGTTAACGCGAGTTAAAATTGATACCTGAAAAGTGAAAACATCAAGTGGCGAAGTTATATTCAAACATTTAAGGACACATATTCATAAGTAATGGTTACTCGTTGCTTGTTCGAGGTGAGGTATTTCGATGAGTAGAAACAAAATGTAGCCGTAAAAATGAATGAACAGATGAGCAACATCAGTCTGGATGTGTACTCATATTTTGAAGTGGAACACAAACGGCCAGTTTATTCCGAAGACAAAGGCAGAACAGTCTCCTGAAATCACTCTTAGTGAGTAGCTTATTGTTGTGTTTGAATTACGACAGAAAGTAAACGGAGTGTTTTTAGGCTATTCAAATACATTAGAATCAGTGTATGCAAGTACTGCTTCATCCATAGTCCAGTTTTTTGAGTAATTTAGCAACATCGGGTTTAATTTCAGCATTGGACTGCTAAGTAAATGTGGATGTCCCTTGATAAAATCGTCACTTGTTGCCATGGAAGGTAAATATGTTCACATCTTCAGGAAAATATTTCGATTACCATGGCGTTTGAAGTTCATGAAATATATATACTCACGTGTTATCTTTTTCAAAGGTCCCAGGTAATTTTTCTTCGGTTGGGTGTGAAATGGACATAGTGGTTGTGTAAATTCCACAACTGGTGAAGTTTTATGGTAATCGTTTACATTTCGCATAAACGGGTAAGTTTACAAGAAATGCATGTCATTTTTACAGGCACGTTCAGTGATGTTATAAATTACAATCCTGAAGTGTCGTAAATTATTACTCTTTCAAAAGTTTAAATAGTCCAATTTCTGTACATGCAATCAGAACGGGTTCTGATAAATGTTGAATTGTAAACTCTTCCCTAAGGTCACCATCAAAGTTGAGCGACAACCCAAACTTCGTTCTGTTTCCTGCTGATAAATTTCACCGACGACAAACCTCTGACGTACTCTCTGAACTCAACTTCAGATAAGTATTCACCTAGAGAATTACGACACCTGGGCTACGTTTCACAGTTTACATCGGATATTCGCAATATATCTGGAGTGAACAACACTGTGGCAGATGCCTTGTTGCGCATTTGTTCCCTCGCCCAAATAGACGACATGGACCCTTTTGAAACTGGCTCGTCTTCAAAAAGAAGATACTGAGCTTCAACATGAGTTGTCGAACACAACTCTGCAACTAGCTGAGAAACCCTTGGGTATGGGAAGAGATAGTATTCAATGTGACATTTCCACGAGTACTCCTCGCCCTATCGTGCCTAAAAGCTGTCGCCGCAACGTCTTCAACACGTAGCATGGCTTATTCCACCTAGGAATTCGAACTACTGTCAAGCTCGTAACTAGTCGGTTTTGTTGGCCTGGTATTAATAAAGAAGTAAGGGAATGGGCACACACGTGCTTAACTAGCCAAAAGTGCAAGGTAGTAAGACACAACAATTTTCGTAAGTGGAACGTGCATTATATCCGCCAGAGATATTAGCAATCTAGGGTGAAGTCCATCTGGTCCAGGTGATTTACCTGGCTTCAACTTAGACAGCAGTTTCAGAACCATTGCATCATCTACCACAATTGGGGGCATTCTAGTGGCTACACCAATTACCTCGCTACACCCCTGGGTGGTGCGATTAGGCGAGAAAAGATCACAGAAATTTCGGGAGAGCTCCTCATCTTTTGTTTCGTCTGATTCTGCAGCCTCTCCTGTGTTGCTAATGAGGGACGGTATGCCACTACTAGTTTTAGTCCTGCGTTTGATATACGAGAACAGTCATTTTGGATAATGAACACAATCCAGTACTGACTGTCTCTCATACTCTATACGACTTTTGTTAATCTCACACTTGCAAAGGTTTCGAACTTTGCGGTATTGTACCCGAAACTCATCCCTCCCACTCACAGCGAACCGGTTCCTCACATGGGTTCGATTAATAATATTACAAGTAGCTGAAGACATAAATTGATGTTATTTGATATATGGTGACTAGCGGTGAAATTCAAAATGCGCATTCCATCCTATCTGGGACGTGTCATCTGGATGTGCCCACGACGCCAGTAAGTGATGGTGTTCCCATCGGGACTCGAAACCAGCACTCATCGTGGCCTAGTGGCTTTGGCGTTCGAAAAGATGGGTGTCAGGCCCGAGTCTTAGTGGGAATACCATCACTTACTGAGGATCTAAGGCACATGAAGCTGATGAGTTCCCGATTTCTTAACCCACAGACATCGTCGAAACATCTGTGGTATGAGTCGACATAATAACAGAGGCCGGACATTTCGGTTTTATGGAATAAATCAACGGGAAGTACTAAATTAACTGGAAAAAAAACTATCTGTTCCAAGTCAGACTGGTCTAAATATTTCTGTGGAAACTCAATGGACGTGTTTCAAGGAATATCAACTCAACTTCTAGACGTTTGATTTATAAAATGATACAACAAAAACCAAATTAAGCTTAAAAATGAAATACTATTTGCCACTGGATTTCCATCTTCATCACTCCCGTGAGAAGCTGAATTTGATCTTGCTGACCGCAACTTCTTCACGAATTCGTTTCTATTAGTTTTCACCTCCAACAGCATGCGCTTCTCTTTGATCAGCTCCATAGTGGTCAAATTAGATCTTTTCGGTCTCCATGTGCCAGAAATTATTCGCCAAACAGTAGCAGCGCCTCGGCCTATACGATTAGCGATGAATTTAACAGTTTTTCCGGCTTCATACAATTTCAACACTTTGTTACGTTCCCATATACTTACGTTGCGCGATTTCTCCCTAAAACAGATTTAGAATATCAGAGTTAAGTCAAATAAGTTAGAACCATTACAGATCCATAGGTTATGAAAGTAGTGTGACAAGTTGAAGTACCTGATTTCAGTCACATTTTTCATACGCCCGATAAGATATCGCTTTACTGTACCTTCAAAAATAGGATAATCAAAAAGAAAAAACTTCATTAAGCAACAAAGCCAAATATTAATCTACAAGTTTAACCCCTGTGAGAAGTAAATTACATCCTCAGGATAGCAAATATCTATCAGAATTTCGTCAATAGCTGCTAATCAGAAATTACTGAGAGTGCAATGATATCATAACGCTTTAAAGATCATCTTAAATATAAGATATCCTTCAACAAAAGCTTCCTTATTCACAGTGGCCTAAAATCTAAGTAAAGTCGGAAGTGACACCCATTATATTCGCAACAGCACGTGTACATTTTAAAAACAGCAACAACAACAACCTAGTCACCGCTATGCAAAATAAGTGAGTAAAAATACAGTCCAAAACCAAAAGAGTATATCTAAAAATAAATGTCCAGTAGAGCTGGTAGACAGACCAACTAAATACTAGCATCAGTACTTACAACTTTAAAACATTTAATACACCCTAGGCACCAGGAAAGTATATAACAACAATATATACAGAAAAGTCAAAATGAATGCAGAGGAAGAGAATAAACACATAAGTATTCTTTCATACTATTAAGGACATGCTCGCTGTTTTATACTAATTCCGACTGTAAAAAATTAGAGTGTTGCAACATGACTTCCATCAGTTCCAAAACCGAGTAATACATGACGTCACAAGATCTCTCGGGTTCCATTAGAGCATTCACGAAACCCCAAAGATGCTAACCGTGACGACACATCAGGATCCTTCGAACTACTTTCCACAGTTCCAGAAATTGTACGGATAGTACTGCAAGACAAGTCCACAACACCAAGCTTACATTCCCAGAAGATATCGCGACTTTCACACCCTCTAAAAGAGGGATGCACGACCGGGGCCCTCGGGACTCTAAGAATCAATGACTGGAGACAATAGGTGACATGGCTCAAAATCGTTGTCAGTGGCGCAGATGTATTCAGTCTCTGTAATCTTTCATATTCCTTTCTACCATTACTCATTCTGTTTCACTCTTATACTTGTCAAAACTCCATTGATTCTCTTCACTCATTTTCTTCTTTAGCCTTGTGTGCGAGGATATGGTTTTTTAGTGACGTCCTTACCTTCCAAGCACAGGCAAGCGCCGGAATTTTTAACATCCTCGAGAGAAACAACTCTTAGTACTACCCAAGGCTGCAAACAGGTGTCAAATGTTTGTTTTAAGATCACCCCAAAATTTCCCAGTGCATCCGAAACTCTTCTTATCTGGGTGGTGCGAAGAGAGGTGAACAAAATTGCAGAAATCAAAACAGCAACTCCTTAGGAACGCGTAAATAAGGAGAGCAGGACTGCATATATTTAGCTACTGAATAATCCTAACGACTAGAGCTAATGAGGATATTTCATTTCCGTTGCTTGGTGAAACGTTCTATTCGAAACGTCTCAGACAGGCCTAAGCAGGCTTGGACACATGAAATTCATACCTACATTTAACGGACAGTGTCCCACATATTTCAAGTTTTACTTCGAGGTACAAGTATTTAGGCCTATTTTAATCCTCTCCTGATAAGTATCTCAGCTTATTCATTCTCCTCTTGAACAGGTCGATTGAGGCTACAAACATTAGTGCTTCCGGGAGTCGCATCCACGAGTTAACGACTCCGTAAGAGAATCAGTGCTTCACTCTGATATTGATCCTGCTGTCTGAAGTGAAGACAGACCAACTCCACATTAATTTCTGATAATTTTGAACATCCTGAGTAGATGGTCTGTCTGCTTAAAGTATGACGAGATCACAGATACACAACTTCATTCCTCATTGCTGTAGTCATACGCGTTACTGCCCTTTCAACTCTTTCTATAATGAGTTCTATTTTTGGCGAAGGTTGGTTCCCTGGAAGCATTTTTCTAGTCTTTACCGCACCAGATTTATATACGGAGTGGTACACACTTCACCGGTGATTCTACTAAAGGTTCAGGGATCTAAGGCTACGAGCTGTCACTGTGTGCCACAGGCTGTAGGCTACGATTTACGGTGATGCGTAATTCCATGTGCACCTGAAATGAAAGCAGTGTAATTCTGTATGTCACATTCAGTGACATTTGCGTGCACTATTCAGACTTCGATACATTAATGGGAGTATGAATTCTTTCGACCAATCTAACTGATTGTTGTGATTTGTTTGCGACGTAGGCATGTGGCTGTTAACAACACATGGTATATTATAGTTACCAAACTGTCAGAAATAAAACGAATGTGATTGGTTGTATAACATAGATAAATGCATCGAAACTGTCTAATAGGATTAACACGAACTCTTTGGACCTATCTGACTGATTGTTGAGATTTGTTTGCGACAGAAGCGGTCGTTGTGAACATCAGGCTTGCTCCAAATTTTGTCACATATTTACAGAACCATAGGGGAATTGATGAACCCAGGTACTTCGCTAGTATACAGGATATATATCACTGTCAAATACAAAACCAGATTGGAGAACATCTTTATCAACTTGGTCAAAGTAGGTGATGCTGGGTAGTTTTTCCGTTGAAAACATGTTGGGAACTCGGTGGAAGTGGCTATCTTACGTTGCAATTTGACCAACTTTTGGCCACGTATCAACCCGACCAAAACTGCCCATCTACTCACTCCAACTAAATACATTCTCCAACTGGGTATCTTGTAACACACAACTATGTACTGTTGTTCAGAAATTTTCAAGTCGATCCTAACTGCATCCAGTTATAACTTCCTTTGTTATAATAAAGGAAGTTCTTCATTTAGTTGAGTAAGCTGCACTTAGCTCAGAAATAAGTTTGCTGCTCAAAATCGAAATTCGGGTTATTTAGGAAACAAATCAATATCATCTTAAAATGTATGCTCACGTTTAGAGATTTAAAATGTCAAACACAACACTCACCTCAATCTACGCATACGTGGCGCCTTCATGCAAAGATTTGACCACTTAGATGAATGTAAGAACTTTCAATTTTCAGGGGTACATATACCTATAAATTGAAATAACAACTAATTCTTCAGGGGATGAGGGTTATAGAATCGCCGAGTATGTATGTTTAACTCTATAATTAGAAAAGACATTGAACATGCTTTCCATGCACTGGTAATTCAACAGCCAGGCTTGTTTCTAAGATGAAGATATCACCGAATTTATCACCTTTGCCCTGTACTGCATTAGGCCTTCTGATCGACTTGTATTCTCATCTGAATAGTGTTAAGGGATTCTCTAACTTTAGTGTTTACCTGGATTGGCAGTCCACTTCAGTAACTTCATTCAGGCTAAGCTCGCATTACCCAGTGTTTATGTATGACTGACGCTTATGTCTATGACCTACAGGTCACACTTTCATCACTCGAACAACATACTGATACCCAGTTTTAGGCATGAACTCATGGCCATAGACTATCCCTAAGTTTGGTCATATATGGGATGATCATTCCTTTCTGTGGAAGTGTTAAAATTTGTAGGCAATCTATGACATTACTTGGAGATCATTTCATAATAATGACTCACAAAGCTGTTGGCGAAATGTACTTTGTTTACATCAGTGATTCGAAGGCCATATAGCCATATGGCCATCTATATTGGTGGCGGATTGCTTCTTCAATTTCGTATAATCTTTCATTTGAAAATCACAAGTGACCAAATAAGCGAAGCCATTCATTATGTCTTTTAGTCAATCCCGATTATGAGTTGCGGTATGTACTATTAAAGATCAAAAATTGCTCTGGTATCATTAGAACCGCGTGCTTACTTCATTCTTCTTGTTAATTCACTAAAGCTTATTCCAAGTAGAATGAAATTCTGGACTCCTCTGGTCACCATTCACATAAGTGAGACCCCAACAACCAGTTAGATTTTATTAAGTAGGTCATCCTTGATACAATTTGTTTTCGGGGAAACATACTACAGACTTGTCTTTGAATGACCGACGTATCTTATAGCATTTCCATTGTGCACATATTGAACAGTGGATCGATTTCCATTTCCCTTGTGGCGTTAGACAATTCTCCAGAATTACAAGCCGCAGCATTCATCACTGAACATTGGGTGATGATGCCCCCTATTCTAGTCGATTTGTTTCTCTGGAAGGTAACTGTCAAGCATCCACGCCACTCCAATACACAATATCGAATGTCGTTTTTACGAGCTAGTACAAAACAATTTGGTTTCTTTGTGCTCGTCTCTTGATTGCGAGGTATAGGTTCCTGATCTTCGGTAAACTTCAGTATAGCTCGTCCCGCCAGTCGACTGTCGTAGCTTCGATTGACTGCAAAAGGAGTAGTGCTGGGATTAATTATATTTGGTTTGTAGTATGAGGTGTGTTATGACTGTTACTACTGTGAATTGAGTTGATCCTTTCGCCAGTTAGTCCTCCGGTATCGTCGTCAAAGGAAAACTGATAATAATAATAATGGATTCAATTAGTGACGTTATTCAGACTAACGGACAGAAAAAGAAGTAAAGAAAACGTAAAAACAAACAGCCGATTAAATGTGAAGTTGATATATGTGTATATATCGGTAATAATAATAAGTGTAGTTAGAGTTTTCAGGAGAGTAGAACGGGAGAGAATGCAAAGAAGTAAAACGACGAACTTAGCTGTCTACCCACG